CCTGGCCTTGAATGCCTGCAGGGATGGGGCATCCACAACCTCCTTGGGCAACCTGTTCCAGTGCATCACTGCCCTCTGAGTGAAAAACTTCCTCCTCATATCCAACCTAAACCTCCCCTGTCTCAGTTTAAAACCATTCCCCCTCATCCTATCCCCACTATCCATCCCCACTATCCACCATGTGTCTTGCCAAGAACTCTTTTTAGAAATCATAGCATCATCAGAATTGGAAAAGACCATTAAGATCACAGAACCATTGAATGGTTTGGGACAGAAAGATCACTGAGTTCAACCTCAACCCAACCCAGCTACGGCCACTAACCACATCCCAAAAGCCACATCCACCTTTCAGTTCCTCTATCACTCAATTAACATAAAATACGAAGGCAAAAAGAAGGTTGGTCTACTTCTACCACCCAAAGCCATCTACATGCAATAGTTTCAAAGCACTTGGCCACAGAATATTTTGACTGAAGGAAAAGAGATTTCAACCCAATTGAAATTCCAGTAACAGCTGGTATCTCAAACTCAGTATTCTTCTGGAGTGAAACTACTGCCTGTGACTGATACAACAGCTGACAAACAAATTGGGATGATTAGATACCAGGAACTGGTTTGCATTAGTAACACCGTTAGTGTTCCAGTAGAAAAGAAATTTCAATATAACTTAGATTACTTTATTTTTTCCCCCCGAAGTGACCAAGTGATCCTTAGTCTATTACTCATTTCAAAACAACTTCATCTTATGTCCTTATGTACAACCATATCTAAGGGCACATAAGCCCCAGTTCTTTGATTTACAAGTGCCTTGAGCTCATAAAAAAGTATCTGGATTTCATGTACCACTAAGAAAAATTAGTAACACCAAACCGATGAGAAACTGTAAAAATGTGTGGGTTTTTTGTTAAGTATAAGAAGAAATAGTGAAAAGAATTATAGATAAATCATCACAAAGTAACTCTTCCCAGTTGTGTTGGAAATTGTTGCTTATTTTCAACACATAAAAGCAGAACTTTTAGCCACAATAGGAGTGGGGTAAATTTCTCCTCAGATTCAAATAATTTCTTATATTAAACATAATTCATTCAGCCTGGAGAACTGACAATGGATTGAAGAACACCACCAGTAGAGTATTATGATAACATAATTTGGAGCATTTTGGGTACCTCAGTGCTTGAGAAAACATGAATGAACAGTGAAAACATTATTTTTACAGCTTTTCTTTCTCCCAGTAACAATTCAGGATTATTTTGCTGTATTTTCACCTCTTCCCACTTTTGCATAAAGGAAATAGAATCACGTCAGCTCTGCCTTTCTTCCCAATCTCACTTCACATCGGGGGGAGAAAGTGAAACTGGAAATGGTACTTTGAAGAGGACACTCTCTTAGAAAAGGGAAAAATAAAAAACTTAATTAACTTATGAAATTGGAGAGGTACAGCAAAGAAGGCACAATGGGAGGTTGACCACCAGGGTTCAGTGCTCGCTTTGAATTCATAAGATCTTTCAAAAAGGTCCCTAGCACTCAATCCATCAGCTTCACCTTGTAGATGGGAGCACCTTATGGTGTCCAAGCCTATAGAACCAGTCAGCATCAAAAGCCAGGGACATGAAGAGAGCTCAGACTCTTTGCTTTCTATTTAAACACAGCTCCAAAGCCAAAGTTAATGAACAAAAAAGCAGCACAGAAGGCTGAAAGCTCCAAGGGAATCCAAAGAGATACAGCCAACAGCCAAACAAGCTGCACGTGACATTTATGTGCATCTTTCTCTATTTCTTCTCCAGCACCTCCACTTTCTCTATTCTGTTTTTCTTTCTTTTTTTTTTTTTTTAATGGTTAGAGGCAAGGATTCAATCCGACCTTGGAGAATACAGACAACAGTAAGAGGAAGCCATGGCCTGAATGCTGAGTGCCTGTGCTACTGTCAGAGGACCAGCTGAAAAACAAATGTGTCTTTTTTCAGAGCATTCCTGAGTGATGCCAAAGTCATCAAAACACTCGTTGTGCCCTTTACGAGAACGATGGGGGGAAAGAGTGCTCTTCTGCTTAAGAGAAGCACCATTACAGACTGCAGTTCTCCTTTAAGCTCGAACTCATCTTGCCCTTGTGAAACTCATGGCGTTGTTTTTGGTACTCTCCATTTGTCAGCAGCAGTATTGCCAAACTCAGCAGTGAGGGTCTGGGAAAAAAACCAATCAACCTGACAACCCAACTCACCATCTATACAATGGTCCTGACTCTGCTGTGTGCTGTTCTGCCAACATCTGTAATGAGCAATGCAAATTGGTAGGACAGCAGAGAGCTAACCTTAGGAACTTAAAAAGAGTGTGACCAGCTGATTTTCCCCCTCTGCTCTGCAATTGTGAGGCCACATTTAGAATACTGTGCTCAGTTCTGGGCTCTCCAGTTCCAGGAAGACAGGGATTCTCTGGAAGGAGTCCAATGGAGGGCCACAAAGATGATGAAGGGCCATCTTATGTATGAGGAAAGGCTGAGTGACCTGGGACTGTCTCCTATAGAGATCCTCAAGACCCAACTGGTTGTCAACCTGTGCGACCTACTGTAGGGAACTGCTTTATCAGAGGGGTTGAAGCTTCAGAGGAAGAAGGTCTTGCACATGTAGCACTATATTTCTTAACATTTGAAGTACCATATCTCAGAATATAACTGTCTCAGGACAGTCTTTGGTCTTTATCAGTGTAGTATCCATTTTATTTGCATTATCCTTACTTACTTCACCAGAATAATGCTCTTCTTTCTCTATTTAATGCTCCTAGAAATATGGTTTGAATTTTAGACCTGTGTGGAGCCAGTAGTTGGACTCGATGATCCTTGTAGGTCCCTTCCAACTCAGGATATTCTACCATTCTACAGCCATCCATAGCTGAAGATCCATGAGAACTGGGTCACAGAGAGGAGAGATGCCCCAGAATTTAGTCTGTTCCTTTTTGCACTCCCCACTGCTCACCAGAAGCTCAAAACCAATCTGCAAGCAAGCACAATCAGACCACTGCTTCGATACCTTGTAGAAAAAAAAGCTTCTGGTAAATGTGGTACAGCTGAAGAGGTTCATACGCCCAAATTTATATTCTACAACAAATAAAAATAAAATTTCCACTAAAATTTGATTTTCACACCTACTACTGTGAGCCACGTTGCTCCTGTGCGGAAAGCCAATGAAGGAGACAAATGACTTGTTCTTCACATGCTGCAATGCTAACTAAGCCATTGAGCCTTTATGGCACAAACATTTGATATTGTGCGAATATAAAAACTAGTTCACTTCTGAACTTACACCAAGCTGAAAATCGATTTATATTCCAATACTGTGCCGCCTTACTGCAGCAGTCACAAATTGTCACTTTTCAGCTAATTGGCTGCAGTCAGCAGTTGGCTCAGAAATGCCAATTATCTACGCTTTGTCTCCCTATGTGAGCTCTCCGATTGCTGTGCAGAGCAAACACAGGCATAGCTGCCTCTAAATTAAAAACAGCGCTTAAGATCGAGTCCCCCATTTCTCAGCATCACAAAAAATTACCACACAAACCTGACAAAGGGGAAGCATTTGATCAGAAAAACAGCCAGGTGCTGAATAGTGATGCAGTGAGTAAATTTCAAGTGCACCAGCAAACAATGCTCTGGGAAGCGCCATAACCAGGGCAGCAAGCTCTGCTTGGGCTCTGAGCACATCCAGTGAGACACTGGAAGAGGTTTCCCAGAGTGCCTGAGGATGCTCCTACCCTGGAGGCATCCAAGGCCAGGCTGGATGTGGCTCTGGGCAGTTTGGTCTGGTGTTTGGTAACCCTGCACATAGCAGGGGGGTTGGAACCAGACGATCATTGTGGTCCTTTTCAACCCAAGCCATTCTATGATTCTGTGATCTTAAAGTTCCCTTCCAACCCAAACCATTCTATGATTTTACGATCTTCCTTATGGTAACACAGTACCAAATGCCTCAAGAACCCCGAGGTAGGGCCGGAAAACACTCAGCTCTTTGAAGAGCTGAAATTAATGAAAATATCTTAAAATCCTGCCAGATCCTGCCCACAGACTGATGAATGGTCGTGCAAGAGAAGAGGGATACTGCAGCTCGAGGCTATTGGACCCAAATGTCTGCCTAGTGCCCACCAGTTTGACAACTCTGAGGTGAAAGAACTGGGCTGCTCTACATCAGTTCTAGAATCTGCCATATAGTGTATGCCCAGAGAGGTTGTGGATGCCCCATCCCTGGAGGTGTTCAAGGCCAGATTGGATGGGGCCCTGGGCAGCCTGGTGTGGCATTAGGTGGGAAGGTTGGTGGCCCTGCATGTGGCAGGGGAGTTGGAGATTCATGATCCTTGAGGTCCCTTCCAACCCTGCCAATTCTGTGATTCTGTGACCAGTGATGCAGGAGAGAAAAAATGAAATAAAAGGGTCCCAGCTCCTGCTTCCAGAGCTGTGGCAATAAGAGGGAGTACCTGAAGTAACAGCAAAAGTAACGCTGTGGTGGTGAACCTCACAGGTTGTGAAGGCAGGAGCAGCAGTGTCTGGCTGCTGGGTGCCATGGAACACACAGCATTGTGACCTCTCTCGTAGCCAGGCCTTGGGATCAGCTGATGAGTGCTCCTCCTTCAGCTCCTGCTCTGAAAGGTGCATGGACAACAGCAGCATGCCCGTGGCTGGCATCAGATGGAGAGATAACCAGCAAAGATGGTGCTACGTCTTGCTGCTGTGGGTTAAGATGTACTGCTGCAGCTCTTCTCACACCCAGGAGTTAAAGCAGCTTTTGAGACGGGCTAGAGAAGGAATTCACACCTGTAAATCTACCCCAAGTTTCGATTTTGTTGGTCTTAATGTCAAAACTGAAAACTCAAGAGGCGACTTCTACAACAGCTACAACAGAACTCCCCAGTGCCTTAGAAAAGTTTAAGCAAACATTAAATGATGGGGCAGCATCAGATGAGGAGATGAGGAGGAGATACAAGCTCAAATGAGAAAGCCCTAAGTCCAAACTCACTGGATTTCCATGGTATTAGTTCTTGTGTTCAACAACACCTGGAGCATCTCCCATGTAAGGAAAGGCTGAGTGACCCGGGTCTGTTCAACCTGGGGAAAAGAAGACTGAGAGGGGATTATAAAGATCTAAAGGGAGGTGGGAGGCCAGGCTCTTCTCAGTACTGTGCAGCAATAGGACAAGGAGCAATGGCCTAAAACTTGAACGTAGGAAGTTCTGTACTGACATGTGGAAGAACTTCTTTATGGTCAGGGTGACAGAGCACTGGAACAGGCTGCCCAGAGAGGTTGGGGAGTCTCTGATGGAGACCTTCAAGACCTGGCTGGATGCTGACCTGTGAGACCTATTGTAGGGTGCCTGTTTTGGCAGGGGGGTTGACTCAATGACCTCTTGAGTTCCCTTCCAACCCCTGTGATTCTCTAAAACATTAAGATGTTGTACTAACGGACATGGTTTAGTGGGGAAAATATTGGTAGTAGGTGGACGGTTGGACTGGATGATCCTGGAGGTCTTTTCAATCTTGGTGATGCTGTGATTCTACAATTTCAGTTCCCATCTCCACCCATAGCAGACCGCCTGACACACACATAATTCTGTCTTCCTTCTCGCCAGCATCTGACCTAAATGTGGTGATTTTTTCCATAAGAACTCAATCTGAAGACAAAAGTTAAAAACAGGACTTTCTGGGGTAACAACAATTAAGCTCAGTTAAATTATTAACGTTACCTGAAGGGTAATCCTTTATTTACATTAGTCTCTTATTTCTGTTATTAAATAAACTCCTTGAAGTTATTTTAAAGGCTCAGAAACAGAATCAAACAGTCCCAAACATCCCACCTTGCACATTGCCTGCAGATAAAATCTCTACTTACCTGTAGCCTCTCACAATCTGTATATTGTTAAGGTATCCAGCTGAATGCCTTTGAAAGCAAATTCTCTGCTTGCAATTCAAAGGGAAGAGAGCAGAAAAATAAGAAACGCAGAAAAGAGATGTTGTCACATTGCTTCTGCCCCAACACAGCTCACTTCCAAAGCTCTTCTTTTTGTCCTAGAAAGGATTTCTGGTTGCTTACAAACTTTTGTATATCCACACTTAACCTTGATGTCTGACCTACACGTTTGGTAAAAGGGATTTCTATTCTTGGATCAAACTTCTGTGTTGCTGGTTTTAATTCTGCCACCTGTAAGCAACAGTAACTTCTCAACCACGGCACAAGAACTACACTGCACGCCTTTTGGACTTCAACAATCTAAGTAGAGGGGGAAAAAAAGAAAGAAATGCAGGTCAGGAGCTCACCCCGTTAAGAGGAATTCAGCAGAGGAAAAAACAATGCAATAAAATCCCCTGTTTAAGAAAAAGAAAAAAAAAAGGGGAAAAAAAGCACTCTTGGTTTAACAGGAACAAATTTGGGAGTGCAGGAGACTTCTTATAAACCTATTTAAAATATCAGCCCTTACGCTGGACCTCAGATGTGTTTATGTTGGGGAGCTGTTTCCAGTTATCTCAGCTTGGCAGTGGGGACTGCGTTCCCATGTCGGTCTGACAGCTGCAGCAGGAGGGCCAAAGCCACGACTCCATCCCACAGCATCTGGCTCATACCACAGGAGGAAGAGGCACTAATCTGCAGTTGGGAATAATGGTTTGGTGACAGAGCGAGTTTTCTATATGAATCTTGTAAGAGAGAAAAATAATGCTGATGTACTCCCTGTTTTCAGTGGATTTGGATTTATACACTATTGCAAAAATTATTCCGGAGATGAGGCAGCCTCGAGCTGCTTTGCAAAGAGTGCTTGCAAATACGAAGGCGGAAGCCAGACACAGAAAGCAGCCACTGAGTTTGCAATGCTCCACCCTTCCCCGTTGCAAGTCCCCAAGTTCCTCTGCAGCACCCAATGCTGCTGCCTGGATGTGTTTGTGAAGGATCCTGTTGGCTGGCTCTGCGCCCAGCACGGCTCCAACACCATCTGTGTGCAGGATAAGTGAGATCTGCGAGCAGACTGACTATTCACAGGGAGTTTCAACATGGAAAAAGTTAAAACTTCAGCACACGACAGCTCAGCTACTCTCCCAGACGCTGGAAGTTCAGGAAAAGTGAGCTTACAGCATACAGCCACCTGAATGGCTGCCAAAAAAACTTACGTAAGTGGAATAAAAGTTGTTTTCCTGAAGAGCTTACAATCATAGAACAGCCTGGGTTGAAAAGGACCACAATGATCATCTGGTTTCAACCCCCTGCTATGTGCAGGGTCGCCAACCAGCAGACCAGGCTGCCCAGAGCCACATCCAACCCGGCCTTGAATGCCTGCAGGGATGGGGCATCCACAACTTCCTTGGGCAAATGTGGGTAGCAAGCAGGAATCAAGGAGAGTAAGAAGAAAAAAGCAGCTAAATACAAATTAGGAAGCTTTTTTTAGGCTGCAAAATAGCTGGCAGATGAAAGTGGCCAAAACCTTCTGTCTGGAATGGGCTGCCCAGGGAGGTGGTGGAATCCCCTTCCCTGGAGATGTTCAAGGAACGTTTGGATGTTGTGTTGAGGGATATGGTTTAGCGAGAACCATGGACTGGATGATCTTATAGGTCTTTTCCAACCTTAATGATTCTGTGATTCTGTGATTCTGTCATGAATCATCTCTGACCAGACAAAGCACAGGACAAAGCAAGAGAGGGCTGACAGCTACAGCTCTATCAGTGGAGAAAGAGCTCGGTCCTCCTCCCCAAAAGTCATACAGGACGAATCATTTAAAATACTGATCAATCTGTATCAGAAAAGATGTGTCCATGAGCTGCAGGGTGATCTGGGTTTCCTTCTTCAAGAGAGGGAAACCACAGTGGAAGGTTTCCTTCCAATGGATTAGATGGAGCCTGTGTAACCTCTGATCAAAGGACAGCCTCGTTACGTGGTACTGATAACCACATTCTCAAGGAGTGATGAAGTCAGAATTCATGAGCTTCATGCATCAAGGTTTTATTTTTTAAGAGCCTCTGTTACGACTTTGAATTAAAGACATCTTAATGTGGAAAAACAGCACTGCTGGGGAGGGAAAAATGAGCAACACAGATCCAGGTAGATATGTGTAGAGGGAATGGCCTCAAGTTGTGTCAGGGGAGGCTCAGGTTGGATATTAAGAAGAATTTCTTCTCTGAAAGAGTGATCAGGCACTGGCACAGGAATCCCAGGGAGGTGGTGGGTCCCTGTCCCTGGAAGTGACCAAGAACCATGGAGATGTGGCACTGAGGGATGTGGTTATGGGCACGTTGGGGTTGGACTTGGTGATAATAAAGCTACAGGTAGAGAAACCAGGTTGGAACCTATCTTATTTGCACTGTTTCAAGAAATAACTACGCATGACACCCATCACTGTAGAAAAACACACCTGATTCAAGAAAAAAATAATAATAATCCAAACCCAATTTTCCCAGAAATTAGTTCCTAGTGGCCTCATTATACCAGGATGCCACAGTGCCAAGCTGTCCTGACCCCAACTCTCCGTGCTGTGAGTGAGATTTGCCAGTATGGTAAAAACATCTTAATATGAAGTCAGGAAAGATATTTCAGCAACATTCCAAGAACGGATTGTTTTTAACACAAACAAAGCAGACCTGAGAGCCAGCTGAGGTTTGTTAGGGGAGCACTGGTGGCTCTACTGTCATGTCAGACAGCCAAACAAGCCAGACACCTTCTGCTTTTGTCATCCCACTTATTATGGGATGGATTTTCCCCCAGTGGATAGCTCTGCCTACTGTGTTTGAGTGTTG